AGACCAATGAGCTTTGTAAAAATCGACGCGTTTCAGAAAGGCGGGGCATAGAGGAGAAACAATAATGTACAGTATGTGGAAAATAATGTGTTTTTTTAACTTTAAACCGCATAAACACATTTCATTACACCAAATACACGAAATAATGTTCTTTTTAGCAGCATCATATGACCCCTTTAATTAAATGAATACCGAGAACCCAGATCTCACTTTAAGAATCTAATTAGCACTTAAGGGGGAAATGCGAATAAATACAAATTAAAGACCAAACATATTTCAGTTACAAAAATATTTCGCAGATGAACTGCTGTTTTTTTTTCCCCATTCCCAAATATATTGTTACTATTTTAATCTTTCAATCTTTGCGGTATTGTAACGTAAATTGTCAAAGTTGACATACTTTTCAAAAGAAGAGTGACTAGATAGATAGATAGATAGATAGATATAGAGATAGACAGATGGCTAGAAGGATGGATGATTGGATTTTGTCCCATAATTTGTTCCATAGGCTAAACAATGTCATTTTAAACAGATAAGACGTATATAAATCACTAGTGATTAATCAGAAAGAAGAAGAAGAAAAAAAAAACATGCGAGTAAGACAAAGCCTGCAGATAGGCTACTGTAACATTATAGAATCACGTTGCTGTATTCATGCTGAAATCAAGCAAATCATAAGCCATGCGCTTACCTTTGATGACAGACGAATGCAGAACAATCGCAGTCCATATAATAAAAGCGCTTTGAGCCCTCATGTTAGATTAAGCGACTCAAGCGAGCGCCCGCAGACACCGTGGAGATTCGCTCTGTGATTCCGGGATGATCTTTCCGTTAGATGACAGCGGACATCACCAGAGCTAAAAATATCCCGAGGGCTCTGGGCTTCGACAGCGGGGTGTGCTTAAGCGCAACCTACAGTCTAAACGACACCTAAAGAGAGCAAATGGCTTCGGGCTATTAGACCGTCTGAATCGAATGTGAAGGAGCCTAATGATTTGAGAGTGAAGTGAATGAAGTGTGGGGTCAGTCCCGTCCGCTCTTATTTAGTGCTGCTACCCACGTGTGCGCCGGTGGACCATCCCATTAGATCTGCCCCCCGCACACATGACCTGACAGGACTCCAAAAACACCCCCTCACACATTACCACTGAGTACTGACTGTCACACAAGAATAGGACATAAGGAACTTCATGAGGATTGAGAATGGAGGCAGTGAATGCGGACGAGTTGACAGTGGAGGCAGTGGAGAGGGTGAGTAGAATGTGACATGCTGGATGGCCAAACTGACTCAGCAACACAATAACACATCACTCGACCATTTGTATTTGAGAGTAGGCCTGCTTGACAAACGGTGACTAATAACAAAACCTTAGCATTTCACCTAAATGTTAAAATATAAAGTTAAAGGGAACTTGTAGCCTATATTTTAGGTGCTGCAACTGGTCATCATTTAGGTTTTCACTATTGCAGTTCCTGGTATTTGGGGTCTGAGTGACCATAATAGTAGCTCATTGAAAATACTTAACATCAAAGCATCAGGTTAAAAATTTGATGTTTTTTTTTCTCTCATTTTATGAGAACTTACTAAAAAATAACATACATCGTAATAACACACAAAGACCCCAGATATAAAACATGAAAAAAGCAATGCTAATATATTGTTTTACTGCAGATACACTCCTATCAGTTTATACTGATTTTTTTTATTGTATTGTTCTATAATGTGCTTTTGCCCAAACAAAAACAACACTACTTGGATGGATACCTGGTAAATTACTTAAATAAATAAATAAATAAAAATAATATATATTTTTTTAGCTTACTAGGTTTTGATTGGGCCAGATAAACTTATTAAAATTATTTAAAGAATTAAAAAAAAAATCTAATTGCTATTATTATTTTCACACATATATCAGTAAGGTGTGAGTAAAATTTTAAAATAAAAAAGGAGATGAAATTGTATTATCTGAGTCGTGTTGAAATAGCAGTAAATTCATTTTCAGAAGTTTTTTTTTTTTGCCCATTTAAGGGTTAAGTGGCATAAGGATTGCCTTGGAAGGCTACTACTAACTACTAGAAGCCTACTAGATAATTTAGTAACTGACATACCAGATGTAACAGGGCTGACAAGACGTGAGACATGCGGATCCATGTGCAGGCTTTATTAAGCAGAGAGGTCAGAAACACAGGCAGGGTCGAACAAGGGCAAACAGGAATATGGCGGGCAAGACACAAGAATAATCCTAGGGCTAGCGAAGGTCAACGAACGGCGAACAGAGTCAAAAGGGGCAAGACTAAAGGGGTAAATCCAGGAAAACAGGCGAAGATCAGAAACCGAGAAAACAGGCAAGACTAGGCTAGGCTAGGCTAGGAGGCTAACGAGGGCTCTGTAGTGTAGCTATCAACTGATAAGTGCTAAACAATACTCGGCGCCGGGATTGATATGAAACAGCTGTGTGCAGTCACTGCTGTGTGCAATTAGTGCTGTGCGCAATCAGTGCAATGAATGATGGGATATGTAGTCCGGGATGATATGCAACAGTGTGTAGTGCGAGAGTCAATGAAAATGGAAAGGGTGACCTCTGATGGCTAGCAGACGGAAGTTCATGGACCGGATTCGTGACAATGGCAGCCGCAGTGGATGGATAGGCTACCAAAACGCAAACTAGCGATCTGAAACAATGGCCTCAGCACCCGAAGGGGTAGGGATAAGGTGACCAGACGTCCCATATTTCCCGGGAGTCACAATTCGTTATCGGTTAACTTAAAGTTAGTGATAGGCGGAATCGTGCTGATAGAAGTGCTCTCTCTCACGCACGCTCCACTTCTTCAGTTCTCATATACAGCGCGCGATCAGTTCTCAGTGCTCAAATACACACACAGC